TGGCACTTCCTTCAAAAATGAATGAGGTGCCGAAGTCATACTGCATAGTTGAAGACTAGGTTACCCTTGCGCTTGGCAAATTATTGATGACGTGGTTGTCAGGGAATGTAAGCACTGCGTTGAGCCGAATGGCACCCTGCTACATTACTTATAGAATTATGAACACGCAATTTCTGAGACATGGAGGCCCCCTCTACAGCCGCCGGGCTGGTGATAAGGGTATGCCACATGCTTACACCGTGGCAGCTAGATCCCTTGCTTGCAATCCAGCCACCACGCTAAGTATACAGTTCAAAGAAAACACATGAGTCAACTAGAAATAGCTGACACAGGCCGGGCCACTCTATAGAAAAGGCGCGGGCAGAACTAGACCGCAAATCTAACAGAACTGAACTGGTGTTCGGCATTCTGTGCAGTGGAGCAATGCACACCAGAGCTTCGTCTGCCTCCTTACCCTGAACTTGGTTTCATCATATGAGAAATTGCCTCATGATTTTCCTCCTCCAGCGTCGCCAGCAGCCCACCAGGAAGACTGCCAAATCATACCAGCTTGTAGAGGAAAACTGAAACTTATTGCAGGGCAAAACATTTTTTATCAAAGATAAAAAGGTAATGGAAAAGGTTTACTGGAGAAGCAAAGACAAGATCTGCGCCCCCAGAGTCTACAGTTAGTAGGAGAATTAATAAATGGCAGAATCCCGTCCATACTCATTTGCCCGCTCCTGGAAAAGCAGATGTTGAGGCAGCATGCGGGTGTCAGGGAGTTGGCACCGTTTCGGACGACCATATCCGGGGAATCCTTTCTTCGATATGAAGCAGACGGAATGGTCATCCTCGCAGCCGATCAAGACCTTCGGTTCCTGGCGCGTGCACATAGGTTCGCCAACGGGACCTTCAGTGTGGTTCATGCTGAATATGTGCAGCTATATTGTCTCCGTGGATATAGGATTTTATATGACATATTACATGATATAATAATCTACCAATCGCACTGAAATTCACTTTACATGATGTAGTATACAATATCATTGTATACGATATAATAAATTATATAATATACAATATAATTCAGAAAATAGTGGCAGAAATTGACAACTAGTAATGCTAGATTTCAATACTGTGTTGTATGTTTCTTATGTCTCGAATGCACAACAACGAATATAAACAACGGCAAATAAAAGAATAACCATGCAGATGTGCTTAGTATGCAAATGCATGAAAATGAACATACGCGTAATACTTAGGGTGTTGGTTGCGGGTACACCAATGTGCTCCATACGCACCGCGCTTCACTCCAGGGTCGCTTGAGCTGGCTGCTACATTACCACGCAAGAGACATGGAGGCACAGCCGCTGATACAGCCATGTTCAATCCAGCTGAGCATACCAAAGATGATCAACTAGAAATAGCTGACACTTTCTATAGAAAAGGCGCGGCAAACTGACCGCAATAACAGAACTGATATTCTGGCAGTGGAGCAATGCACACCAGAGCTTCGTCTGCCTCCTTACCCTGAACTTTTCATCATATGATTGCCTCATGATTTTCCCTCCTCCAGCGTCGCCAGCAGCCACCAGGAAGACTGCAAACATACCAGCTTGTAGAGGAAAACTGAAACTATTGCAGGGCAAAACATTTTTTATCAAAATAAAAAGGTAATGAAAAGGTTTACTGAGAAGCAAAGACAAGATCTGCGCCCCCAGAGTCTACAGTTAGTAGGAGAATTAATAAATGGCAGAATCCGTATACTCATTTGCCCGCTCCTGGAAAAGCAGATGTTGAGGCAGCATACGGTGTCAGGGAGTTGGCACCGTCGACCATATCCGGGAATCTTTCTTCGATATGAAGCAGACGGAATGGTCATCCTCGCAGCGATCAGACTTCGGTTCCTGGCGCGTGCACATAGGTTCGCCAACGGGACCTTCAGTGTGGTTCATGCTGAATATGTGCAGCTATATTGTCTCCGTGGATATAGGATTTTATATGACATATTACATGATATAATAATCTACCAATCGCACTGAAATTCACTTTACATGATGTAGTATACAATATCATTGTATACGATATAATAAATTATATAATATACAATATAATTCAGAAAATAGTGGCAGAAATTGACAACTAGTAATGCTAGATTTCAATACTGTGTTGTATGTTTCTTATGTCTCGAATGCACAACAACGAATATAAACAACGGCAAATAAAAGAATAACCATGCAGATGTGCTTAGTATGCAAATGCATGAAAATGAACATACGCGTAATACTTAGGGTGTTGGTGGATGAACAGTCGCGTCTGTACTGAGAGAACCTACACATAAAAACAGTCAACATATGCGCATGTATAAGATATAATCACATATGCGCTTCTGAGACTCAAGCTCATGCATAGACGAATATATATTCTGATGTAGTGAGCAGGCCGTATCTAGCTACACTTAAGCCCGGGCTAAACATGTTCAATCCTGTTAGAGTGGCCTACTAGTGGTGCCACGGCT